ATGTGCTAAGGAGAAAAATGTGTACTCTATAGCTGTTGGATGAAATGTTTGTTAAATATCTATTAGATCCATTTGATCTATAGTGTAGATTATGTCCAATGTTACTTTGTTGATTTTCTGTCTGGGACTTCTGTCTAATGCTGAAAGTGGGGTGTTGAAATCTTCAGCTGTTATTGCATTGAGGCCTGTCTTTGTCTTTAGGTCTAATAATATTTGCTTAATATATCTGGATGTTCTAGTGTTGGGTGCATATCTGTTTATAATCATTATATCTTCTTGCTCAATGGACCCATTTATCATTTTCTTTGTCTCTTCTTAGTTTTTGTCTTGACCTCTGTTTTGTCTGATGTAAGTACTGCTCCTGCTACTCCTGCTGTTTTTTGGTTTCCATTGGCAGGGAATATCTGTTTCCATCTCTTTATTTTCAGTCTGTATATCTTTATAGGTGAAGTGTGTTTCTTTTAGGCAACAGATCATTGGGTCTTGTTTTTTCATCTATTCAGACACTCTATGTCTTGATCGAAAAATTTAGTTGATTTACTTTCGAAGTTATTATTACTGATAAGTAGGGACTTACTCCTGCCATTTCGTTATTTTTCTGGTTGTTTTGCTGTCTTCTGTTTCTTCCTTCCTGTCTTCCTTTCCGTGAAGCTGATTTTCTCTGGTGGCATGCTCTAATCTCTTGCTTTTTTTGTATGTGTATCAATTGTATGTTTTTAGATTTGAGATTACCATGAGGCCTGCAAATAATATTTTATAACCCATTATTTTAAATTGATGACAACACTGATTGCATAAACAACCATGCAAAAAGAAAATAAATACTTTACACTTTCACTTCATCCACCGCTTTTTAACTTTTCGTTGTTACTATTTTTTTTTTTTTTTTTGAGACAGAGTTTCACTCTTGTTGCCCAGGCTGGAGTGCAATGGCGAGACTTCAACTCATCACAACCTCCGCCTCCTGGGTTCAAGCGATTCTCATGCCTCAGCCTCCCAAGTAGCTGGGATTACAGGCATGCACCACCATGCCCAGCTAATTTTGTATTTATAGTAGAGACAGGATTTCTCCATGTTGGTCAGGCTGGTCTCAAACTCCCAACCGCAGGTGATCTGCCCACCTGAGCCTCCCAAAGTGCTGGGATTACGGGCATGAGCCACCGCGCCTGGCCTCATGTTACTTTGTTTTTTTTTTATTGTTGTTGTTGAGATGGAGTTTTGCTCTTGTTACCCAGACTGGAGTGTAATGGCGCAATCTCAGCCCACCACAACCTCTGCCTCCTGGGTTCAAGCGATTCTCCTGCCTCAGCCTCCCGAGTAGCTGGGATTACAGGCATGTGCCACCATGCCTGGCTAATTTTTTGTATTTTTAATAGAGATGGGGTTTCTCCATGTTGGTCAGGCTGGTCTCGAACTCCCAACCTCAAGTGATCTGCCTGCCTCGGCCTCCCAAAGTGCTGGGATTACAGGCCTGAGCCACCGCTCCCGACCGTACTTTTTATATCTTATTTTATTGCCTGTCTTGAAAAGTTGTAGTTATTATTTTATTTATTTTTAGTTATTTTTGATTGGTTCCTTGTTTGGCCTTTCTACTTAAGTCAAGAGAAGTTTATATACAGCAATTACAGTGTGATATTATTCTGTGTTTTTCTGTGTGCTTACTGTTACCAGTGAGTTTTGTACCTTCAGGTGATTTCTTTGTTCTCATTAATATCCTTTTCTTTCAGATTGAAGAACTACCTTTCACATTTCTTATAGGACAGGTCTGGTGTTGATGCAATCCCTCAGTTTTTGTTTATCTGAGAAGGTCTTTATTTCTCCTTCATGCTTAAAGGATATTTTCAGTCAATATACTATTCTAGGGTAAAAAAAATTTTTTTCCTGTCAGTGCTGCAAATATTTCATACCAGTCTCTCTTGGCCTGTAAGGTTTCCACTGAAAAATCTGCCACCTGAGACAGAGTCTTGCTCTTTTACCCCGGTTGGAATGCAGTGGTGTGATCTTGGCTCACTGCAACTTCTGCCTCTCAGGTTCAAGTGATTCTTGTGGTTTAGGCTCCCGAGCAGCTGGAATTACAGCTGTGTGCCACCACCTCTGGCTAATTTTTATATTTTTAGGTGAGATGAGGTTTTTCCATGTTGGCCAGACTGGTCTTGAAATCCTGGTCTCAAGTGATCTGCCCACCTCTGCCTCCCAAAGTGCTGAGATTACAGGTGCGAGCCACTATGCCTGGCCAGGATCCTTTCTTTGTACTTGACCTTCGGTAGTTTGATTATTAAATGCCTTGAGGTAGTCTGACGTGAGTTAAATCTGCTTGGTGTTCTATATTTTTGTACTTGAATGTTGAAATATTTCTGATAGTATTCCTTTGAATAAACTGTCTACCCTTATCTCTTTCTCTGCCTCCTCTTTAAGGCCAAGAAAACTCCTATATTTGCCCTTTTGAGGCTATTTTCTAGATCTTGTAAGCATGCTTTCATTGTTTTTCATTCTCTTTCCTTTGCGTCCTCTGTATTTTCAAATAGCCTGTCTTCAAGCTCAGTAATTCTTTCTTCTGCTTGATCAGTTCTGCTATTAAGAGACTCTGATGCATTCGTCAGCATGTCCATTCCATTTTTTAGCTCTAGAATTTCTGCTTGATTCTTTCTAATTATTTTGATCTCTTTGTTAAATTTATCTGATAGAATTCTGAATTCCTTCTCTGTGTTATCTTGAATTTCTTTGAGTTTCCTCAACACAGCTATTTTGAATTCTGTATCTGAAAGGTCATATATCTCTGGTTCTCCAGGATTGGAACCTGATACCTTATTTAATTCATTTGGTTAGGTCATGTTTTCCTGGGTGGTGGTAATGTGTGTAGATGTTTGTTGGTGTCGGAGCATTGAAGAGTTAGAAAGTTATTATAATCTTCATATTCTGGGCTTGTTTGTGCATGTCCTTCTTCAGAAAGCTTTCCAGGTATTCCACGGGACTTGGGCCCAAAGTCCAGTAATTCTGTGATTTTTGCAGACTCTTAAAAGTAGCACCTTGGTGGTCTTGGATAAGATCCGGAAGAATTCTCTAGATTACCAGGCAGAGACTCTTGTTCTTTTCCCTTACTTTCTTCCAAACAAATGGTCTCTCTCTGTGTGCTGAGCCACCTGGAACTGGAGGTGTGGTGATGCAAGTACCCTTATGGGCATCACCATGGAACTGTGCTGGGTCAAGCCTGAAGCCAACATGGCACTGGGCCTTGCCCAAGGCCCTTTCCTTCATGGTGGCAAGTTCCCCCAGATCCTGAGTGTGTCCAGAGATGCTGTCTGGAAGCCAGGAAATGGAGTAAAAAACCCTGGCAATTTACCTGATGTTCTGTTTTACTGTGGCTAAGCTGGCACTCAAACCACAGTACAAAAGCCTTCCTGCTCTTCACTCCTCTTTCCATAGGCAGAGGACGCTCTCCCTGTGGCCATTACCACCGCCACCTCTGGTCCACACGGGGTTCTGCCAGCCACTGCTGATATTTACTGAAAGCCCAAGGGCTTTTCTGTCACCTTGCAGTAAATGCTGCCAGGCCTTTACCCTTCAGGGAAGTGGGCTTCCCTCTGGCCCAAGGCGAGTCCAGAAATGCTGTCCAAGAGCCAAGGCCTGGACTTGGGGACCTCAAAAGCCTGCTTGTTGCTCTACCCTGTTGTGGCCAAACTGGTACCTAGGGTGCAAGACAAAAATCGCCTTTACTTTCCCTCTGCTTTCCTCAAACAGGGGTCTCTCACCATAGCCACTACAGCTGGGAATGTGCTGGGTCACCCCAAAGCCAGCACGTCTCAGAGTCCAAGACCCAGAGCATACTCCCTGGGTCTTGCCGCTGGTTATTCAGGGCCCAAGGGCTCTTTATTCAGCAAGTGATGAAGCCTGCCAGGACTGCTCCCTTAAGGCAGCAGTTTTCCTTTTGGGCCAGGGTATGTCTAGAAATGTCACCTGGGAGTTAGGGCCTGGAATCAGGACCTCACAATTCTGCCTGGTGCCCTATCCTACCTACCATGGCTTAGCTGGTATCCAAGATGTAAAACAAAGCCCTCTTTACTTTTTCCTCTCCTTTCCTCAAGAAAGGAATCACTTTCATAGCCGCAAGCTGTGTTGCCTGAGGTTGGGGGAGGGGTAGCACAAGCATCCCCTTAGCTTCACCAGCTGGTATCTCCCCTGGTCACCTGCTAGCCTAGTTCACTGTCTCTCAGCCCAGCCTAGCACTAGGAGTTGCCTAGGAATTATAGTCCTTCTTTCCTAGACTGCCTTTCAAGTTTACCTAGGGCCCCAGAGCACTTCAGCCCGCATGGTGAGGCTTGCCAGGAAATTCAGTACCCATTGCTGGCATGGGCGATTCTCCTCTGGCTAGGGCTGGTTCAAATGCTCCTATGCATGGTCACTGGTGGAGCCCAGCACACCTTTATTCTCTGCTGTGACAGGGCAGCACTGAGTTCAATGTAAAGTCCCCTAGTCACTATGCTCCTTCCCCAGAGGGCACAGACTCTCTGTGCTGCAGGTCTGCTGCGAGGGAGTAGGGGAGAGGTGGCATAGGTGATTCAAGACTGTCTCTTTGGCCCTTCTCAATGTCTTTGTAGGTGATATGAAGTTGAAACCAGGTACTGTGAATGCTCACCTGATGTTTGTTTCTTGTGCTTTTCTGTGTGCAGACAGCTGTTAAAATTTGGTGTTTCAGTGAGGATTGGGGGGGAATGATAAATTTTATTTCTCTTCCCACGTTCTCTTTGTCTCTTTTACCCAGTTCTCACTCTTTGCCTTTAGTCGTCAATCCCAGAAGAGAATCTCTGAGTTTCTCTTCCTGTTTTTTCTTTTGTTCATATGAGTACATAAATATATATTACTTATTTCCCCTTCCTTCTTACCCCAAAGGCATAATCCTATAGATACTCTTTTATACTTTGCTAACCATAGAATTTTAAAGCTCAATCAGACTTTATTGTTGTAGTTTTGAGATTATTCTTTCCTCATTTTTTTTCTTTTAGACATTAGATCAGCAACAGTTCTTCACAGAGGAAGAACTAAAAGAATATGAAAATATTATTGCTTTACAAGAAAATGAACTTAAGAAGAAGGCAGATGAGCTTCAGAAACAAAAAGAAGAGCTACAACGTCAGCATGATCAACTGGAGGCTCAGAAGCTGGAATATCATCAGGTGGCATTTTGTCAAAAGATTATGGCATTAAAAAAGATTTTAGGTTCTTTGTTAAAAGCCTGTGTTTTTGTAACATATTTCATTGTACTATAGTACACTGCTATTGCTATAGTATTTTAAATTTTAATACTTTAAAACTGTTTTGTGGAATATTAATCTAAATTTTATTTTATATTACTTTATTTTATTTTGAGACAGCCTGTCTCCCAGGCTGGAGTACAGTGCTGTGATCATAGTTCACTGCAGCCTCAAACTCCTGGGCTTAAGTGATCCTCCCACGTCAACCTCCCCAGTAGCTAGGACTACAGGTGTATGCCAGTGTTCCTGCCTATGTTAATATATTTTGTAGAGACCAGGTCTCACTATGTTGCTGAGGCTGGTCTCGAACTCCTGGCCTCAAGTGATCCTCCCACCTCGGCCTCTGAAATTGTTGGGACTATAGGCGTGAGCCACTGCACCTGGTCAAATCTAAATCTTATCGTTTGAATATCTTTGTTTTAGAAAACAATTTTCAGTTACTTTGTTGTGCTTTGTCAAAGGTCACACATATGATAGAAAATCAAGTTATACTTTTAACTTTCGTTTTCCATTCACCAGGTCATACAGCAGATGGAACAAAAAAAATTACAACAAGGAATTCCTCCATCAGGGCCAGCTGGAGAATTGAAGTTTGAGCCACGTATGTAATTTTGTTTGATTATTTATTTAGGAAAATAAATTATTGTATCAATTGAAGTCCACATTTATTACAAATATAATTTCAAGTCATTAAGGTAGTATGTTATTTTCTGTGTGTTTTTTCTAGTATTAGAGCAATTTAGATTACAGAAAAATGAAAATGCCTCCAAAAGTTTTATGCAGCAGCAGATTTTAAGTGCTGTATCATTTGTATAATTTGATAACCATATTTATGGTAAAATGATTTATTTCAACATTATTTGTAATTCTTTCTAATTATATTAATCTTACCAGAGAACATGTTTTTAAAAATTGTAATCTATAATTAGCTAAGCATATTTTTTAAAACAAGTATATTTGTATATGAAAGAACATTCAGAATAAAGGAAGATACTTTTAAAATAAGAACTTTTTTTTTTTTCCAACAGACATTTAAAGTCTGAAGTCCACCAGAGCTCGGAAGAAAGCTGTTAACTCAACATCTATTTCATCTTTTTAGCTCCCTTCCTTTTTCTCTGCTCAATAAATATTTTAAAAGCATATTTGAAATAAAGGAAGATACTTTTTAAATGAAAACACTTTTTTGGGGACCCAGATATTAAAGGATTGAAGTCTATCAGAACCAGGAAGAAAACAAACTCACTGTCTGCTCTCTGCTCTCACATTCACACGTCTCTTCTATTTTGTTTTTTTTTTTTTGTTCTCCTTTAGTGATTTAATTAAGTGGCTTTATGCCATAATTTAGTAAAACTATTAGGAGCTATTTAAGTGAGAAAACTCTGCCTCTTGCTTTTAAATTAGATTGCTCTCACTCATAAACGTAGATATTCTTTTATGGGTGCTTATTATTCTTTCTTTCAATAAATATTTCTTTGATATTAACAATTCTGAAAAGGCCATAGTATTTCCCTGTGTTTCCTGGTAACTTTTTTCTACTTTTGGCAACCTCAACTGCTAGAAATTCTTCACCTGAATCATTTTTGCTACCATTTCAGGTCATTTTTCATTCTTTTTTATTTTGCTCTATACTTTATCATTTAAGATTAGGTTCTGTTACATATAACAGAAAAACCAAAGATAACAGTGGTTTAAACTAAATAGGAGTTTTTTTCTTACATAAAAGAAGTCTAGAAGTAGGTGGTGTCCAGGTTCCTATCTTTCTGCTCTGCTATCCTCAGTGCATGATTTTTATCCTCAGGTTACCTCACTCTCACTGTTCAAGTTTGCTCCTGGAGGCAGTGGGGAAAGCAAGAAACTGGACTTTCTCTGCTTGAGTCAGCTTCCCTGAGGCCATTTTCCAGAACCAGTAGCACCTGAACTTATGTCTCGACCAGAACTGGGTCACACTGATGGCCACACCTAGCTGCTAGGGAGGCTGAGAAGTCCATGTGGCAATGTGACCAGCTAAAAGTTGGATTATTTTACTAAGGAAGAAGGGAAGAGGGAATGTTTGGTAGGCAACTTTCAATTTGAACCTCAGCCACCCTTGTTGGCTACCTAAATTTCTGTGTACCATCTTCTTCCGAGATAGAAAACACTCACCCCTCTCTCCCTGAAGAGAAACCACGAGAAATCCAGCCCATTATTGCATATTAGATGAAAGACCATGCTATCTGGAGACAGTCCCCTCCGTCATGTTAGGGTGTGGCTCCTTGTGTTCTGGCCACCTACAAACTGAAAGACAAGTTTTCTGCCCCAAGAGTGCCAGATGCATAATGCAAAGGTGCAGGAAAACTCACTTTGAAGCTTTTTAGAGACAGGGTCTTACTGTGTTGTCTGGTCTAGAGTACAGTGGTACGATCATAGCTTACTGCAGCCTTGAACTCCTGGGCTCAAGTGATCCTTCCACTTCAGTCTCCCTAGTAGCTAGGACTACAGGCACACGCCACGAACGCCTGGCTAAACATTTTTTTTGTAGAGATGAAGTATTGCTATGTTGCTCAGGCTGGTCTTAAACTCCTGGTCTCAAGCAATCTTCTCCCCTCAGCCTCCCAAAGCACTGGGATCACTTGGTGTGAGCCACCATGCCCAGGACCCCTAAAATTGATCTTTTAGAAAAGGGGAGAATTAGAAATAGAGTGGCCACTGATCCATAGCAATTGGAAAGTACTGCTTGGCAAAAATAATTAAATCTCTCTGCTGTAGTTCATGAATATATTCCTTGGTTTGCCCATCAGGCAACCCCTGATTCACCTTTCTGAGAGGAATTCCTTTATCTAATGTCCTCAGGGGGCCTTGGTTTTACTTTCTGGGTGGTTTTTATTGTACATTAATTTTCAGACACAGTCTGCATGGGCATTGGAAAGTATATCCTTCTTGGAGGCTGGGCAGCCTTAGCAGTTTATTTCCTGTAATTGTGTCTGGGGGCAGGCTTGGGAATTAGAGTACATATCTGTAACAGTATAGATCTGTTGCAAGCCAGGTTTGGGTTTTTGTTGTTGTTTTGTTCTGTTTCTTGGCCAAGTGGATTCCTAAAAATTTAGTAAGTTTCTGGTCTGTTGTCTTCAGTCATTTCCATGGACAGTTTTAACCAAGGTAAAATACATTGTTTTTAACAAAGAACCTCATCATTTACTTGCTGGCCTCTGTGTGCTCTCCATCCTCTTTGTTCTCACAGGAATGGTACCTCCTTGAGATCCTTTGAAACTGTAGGCTTGCATGGAATGGCAATAGTCTTAATCTGGTCTCTTCCCCTAGGATGGCTCCTATTATTTGGCAGAAAATTCTAAGGGAACATTCTTGAAAAAGGTTGAGAAAGTTTTAGTAGCTCCCTCAGAGCCTTTACTTATAAATGTTTCACTTTGGAGTACAGTAGTACTTGACTTTTTCAATTCTTCAGGGCTCCAGATTTGGGTCTTGGTCAATTTATATGGTAGACAAAGAGCAATTCTCTCAGCAAAGCTATTTTCCCTTGCATCACTGCAGACATGTTAACCTTAGTCCAAGTCACATATCTCTTTAGGGCTTTGCTGAAAAGAGGCAAGAAGCAGCCAACACATGCTAGCACTCTGAAGTTCTACCACCTTCGTCTCTGTGGCAGGAAGTCTCAACCTCATCTTGACCTCTGTTGGCAAAAGTCTCACTGCCCAAAGCCCTACCTCCTCAACTAAGCCAACCCCAGATTTAGGGCCTTTGACTTGCTGCGCCTTACTTCTAGCTGCCAAATTCTGTATAGGTCAAGATTCTTGGCTGTAGGCAATGAAATCTTTAGGTATTAAACAGAAGGAATTGGTGAATGAGTATAGATAGGTCACAGAATCGATGGGAGGGCTGAGGAAACAGACCTAGGCTGAGCTTCTAGGAATTATGTCACAAGAGTAGGCTGTTGAAGGAGCTGCCGCTTTTAGAACAATCAAGAAGCTGCCTGCTGGATTAGGAAGCTGCCTGCTAGACTAGGAAGCTGTGAACAGTTGCCAGTTCCAGAGCCACACCACCTCTGCCATTCTTTATGCCAGCAAAAATAGATACATGTCTTCCTGCCTCTGTCCCCATGTTACTTGGTTCTAAGTAAAAGTCTCAAGTGAGTGAATCTGATGGACTGGACCAATCATATCTGAAGCCCTAGCTGCAAGGGAGGTTGGGAAATATAATATTCAACTTTCCTACCTCTGTGTGATAGGAATGCATGTTAAAAGCTACCCTAGGCTGGGCATGGTGGCTCACGCCTGTAATCCCAGCACTTTGGGAAGCCAAGGTGGGTGGATCACCTGAGGTTAGGAGTTCAAGACCAGCCTGGCCAACATGGTGAAACCCCATCTCTACTAAAAATAGAAAAATTAGCTGGATGTGGTGGCACACACCTATAGTCCCAGCTACTCAAGAGGCTAAGGCAGGAGAATTGCTTGAGCCTGCGAGGTGGAGGTTGCAGTGATCTGAGATCACGCCACTACACTCCAGCCTGGGCCACAGAGCAAGACTCCATCTCAGAAAAAAAAAAAAAAAAAAAGAAGGCTGCCCTAGCACCTCACAAGTTTACATTGTTTCACATAATAATTTTTAAACTCTTAGTCCTTATTTTATAGATTTTTAGATAATCATTGCATATTCCTCCAAACATACTTAAATAATAGATCCCAAAATTAAATAGCAGTTTAGGAAAGTTATTCTTATATACAGCTTTACAAAACCTACAAAAACCACTCAATGTAGTAATAGTGCTTGCTATGTTTTTTAAAGAAATGGAATAGAATCTCTATTGCTTAAATTATAAGCAATAGAATCTCTATCTATATTGCTTAAATTGTAAGCAATATAGAAAAATGGTTTGGAATATCCTTTTGTTGATGACTACTATCTGTGACATGAAACTGATAAGACATTCTTTTGGGTAAACGTTTAACCACAGTTGGTAAACTGTGGTTAAATCAGGAATTAATAGGAAGAAATAGAGTAATTTCTTGAAATGCTTTTTTGGCTCGAGTAAATGATGGATATTAATGTAGAAATATTTCACAGTTTCCAGCAAACTAATGTAATTTATATTATTCAGAAAAGAATTACTAAGCCTAAAATTATGGATTAAGGAATTATAATTTTTTTGAGTACTGGGCATTTATGAATGAATATTATTATTATTATTTTTTGAGACAGAGTCTTACTCTGTCACCTAGGCTAGAGTGCAGTGGCATGATCTCGGCTCACTGCCACCTGTGCCGCCTGGGTTCAAGCGATTCTCCGGCCTCAGCCTCCCGAGTAGCTGGGATTACAGGCACCTGCCACCGCGCCCGGCTACTTTTTGTATTTTTAGTAGAGACGGGGTTTCACCATATTGGTCAGGCTGGCCTTGAACTCCTGACCTCGTGATCCACCCACCTCGGCCTCCCAAAGTGCTGGGATTACAGGCATAAGCCACCGCGCCTGGCCTATTATTTCTAAGAAAGTTGCAAACAGTATTCTTTTCAGTTCTGTTAGAAAGTATTGGTCTTGTGTTTATACCATTCTTCTTCATATTTCTTTAGTTATTAAATGTCTTTGGTTTAGCTGAGTTAGTGAAATTTATTAGTAATTTGAAGTTTTGTTTCACATATGAATTTTCATGAAGCATGTGCATTTTATAATATACTTAAGTAGAGGCTGAGCATTCCTTATCCACAGTGCTTGGAACCTGAAGTGTTTTGGATTTTGGATTTTTTTTGTGGCTGGAATTACAGGCGTGAGTCACTACACCCAGCTAATTTTTGTATTTTTAGTAGAGTCAGGGTTTCACTATGTTGGCCAGGCTGGTCTCAAACTCCTAACCTCAAGCAATGTGCCTGCCTTGGCCTCCCAAAGTGCTGGGATTACAGGCGTGAGCCACCACGCCCAGCCTGCATTATACTTTTATTGGTTGAGCATCCCAAATCTAAAAATTAGACATCTGAAATGAGCATTTCCTTTGAGCATCATGTTGGCACTCAAAAAGTTTTGGATTTTGGAGCATTTTGGGTTTCAGAATTTTGAATTTGAGAATCTCAAACTGTATATATAATTAAAATTAGATTTTGAAGGATTAGTCTCTAGAATATTTAACTCTTACTAAAGACAACTACAATTTAGAAGTAGTGGTAAAAAAAATACTCTGAGACATAGATACATGTTTTTTATGCCAAGATTTGTTTACAACAGCATTATTTTATGTACGTTGAACAGAATAGTATTACAATAAGATTAAATGCAAATCTTTCTCAGGAAAAATATAAAGAAAATTTTAAAATGTTTTTGATAACATGATTTTTTTTTTCTTTTAGAGATGGGGTCTCTCTCTGTCATCCAGGCTGGAGTGCAGTGGTGCCATCATAACTCACTATAGTCTCGAACTTCTGGGCTCAAGCAATCCTCCTGTCTCAGCTTCCTGAATAGCTGGGACTCTAGGTGTGTGCTTCCATGCCCGGCTAATTTTTAAATTTGTTGTAGAGATGGGGTTGCTATGTTGCCCAGGCTGACTTCAAATTCCTGGCCTCAAGCAATCCTTCTGCCTCCGTCCCCTAAGTTGCTGGGATTAGAAACATAAGTCATTATTCCTGGCTGTTAATGTGATTTTTAAGAGAGGGGTTAAAAAAATCCGTTAACTTAGAATAAAGTTTTGACAATCCGGGTTCTGGTTAGTGCGTAAGTTTTCATCTTTGTTTTATAGCTGTGAAGTACAATCAAGAAGAAACTGAAAAAGAGCCAGAGTTAGATGATGAGCTTCATCGTTGTCATGCAGGATTTTTATCCCCTGAAGAACCTGCTAGAGAAGTCCACCTTCACCCTTAACCAATGGTGCCTCAACTTAATACTTTTAAAATTCATTTGTTTCTTTTGGAATTGGGATACTAAGGTGTGTTAAGTAAAATACAATATTTACTTTTTCATTCCTTATGAGTGACAAAATGTCTGCTTTTGAGGTATGGGATTTGAAGGAAATCAGACCTTTCCTTTATTTTTATTTATTTATTTATTTATTTTTTGACACAGAGTTTCACTCTTGTTGCCCAGGCTAGAGTGCAATGGCTCACTGCAACCTCCACCTCCCAAGTTTCAAGCAATTCTCCTGCCTCAGCCTCCCAAGTAACTGAGATTACAGGTGGCTGCCACCACACCCGGCTAATTTTTTGTATTTTTAATAGAGATGGGGTTTCACCATGTTGGCTAATCTGGTCTCAAACTCTTGACCCCAAGTGATCTGCCCATTTCAGCCTCCCAAAGTGCTGGGATTACAGGCATGAACCACTGTGCCCAGCCTTTTCCTTGATTTTTAAAAAGACATAATATCATTAGTAGAATTCTAATCTTTTTCTACCCACTTTTTAATTTATTTTAAAAATGAGTTGTTAGCTATGAATTAGTAACCATTTCTTTAAAAGTCTAAGAACTGAGCCAGAGAAAGCAGCATCAGCAAGTGGTGAAGACACTAAATTGAAAAATGTGCATGTATTGTTTCTAGTACTGCCAACCTGTTTAATGTGACAAAAGCAAATCAAAAGCAAACTTTTGATTTAGTTTTAGAAATTTAGATTTTTTCAAATATTGCTCATAGAATTATATAGAAAAACAATTATATTTTATGTTTATAGATATAGATAATTTTCACAGCAAAGCTTTTAGTTTATATTTTAATTGATGTCAGCCATGCTCTTGATGATCCTGTATGCCATGTAGCAGTTTGATTGTCAGCCGGCCCTTGACAGTGTACTTCTCTTTCTGTGCTCCACCCTCTGGTTACCATCAAAGCTCTGCATGCCTGTGTCAACAAGTTTTGTTTTACTAATTGTTTATAATCAATTGCAGTTAATAGTTTAAGTTTTGCTGGGAAAATTTGCTTACCTCTTTTTATTATTTTATAATTAGTAATATATTTCCCAAGCCTTTCCAGATTTATGAATATATACCTCAGAATTAAAGTGTTACAATATTTATTTTACAATTCTTATAATTTTGGCTACTCCATAGAATTTTTATTTTCATTTTATTTTATTTATTTATTTTTTTGAGACAGAGTCTTGCTCTGTTGCTCAGGCTACAGTGCAGTGGCGTGATCTCGGCTCACTGCAACCTCCGCCTCCCAGGTTCAAGCAATTCTGTCTCAGTCTTCCAAGCAGCTGGGACTACAGGTGCATGCCACCACACCTGGCTAATTTCACCGTGGTGGCCAGGCTGGTCTTGAACTCCTGACCTCAGGTGATCCACCCACCTCGGTCTCCCAAAGTGTTGAGATCACAGGTGTAAGCCACCATGCCTAGCCTATTTTTATTTTTATTTTTATTTTATTTTATTTTTGAGACGGAGCCTCACTCTGTTGCCCAGGCTGGAGTGGAGTGGCACGATCTTGCCTCACTGCAGTCTCCGCCTCCTGGGTTCAAGTGATTATCCTGCCTCAGTCTCCAGAGTAACTGGGACTCCAGGCATGTGCCACCATGCCCAGCTAATTTTTGTTTTTTCAGTAGAGACAGCGTTTTGCCATGTTGGTCAGGCTGGTCTCGAACTCCTGACCTCAGGTGATCCACCTGCTTCGGCCTCCCAAAGTGCTGGGATTACAGGTGTGAGCCACTGCGCCTGGCTAATGGAATTTTTAAATGAGTAATGATTTATTTTCTACATGATTTCAAAGTTATAACTAGTCCAAGTGATTTAACAGTGAGAGAGAAAAAAATAAAATTGCATCTAGTTCTCTTTGCTATCTCCCATGAATCATTGCATTTAACATGTTATTTCTGTTCAATTTTAGTTCATTTTCAGTGTGCATTTTTAGTGATATCACAGTATGTGTCATTTAATTAAATCCCTGCCCTTGCTTTAGATTTTCTGTGCATGAGGTATGAGGCACATGTGCAGTCTGTGCCATGTTGTATTTGTTTTGTACCATGTTGCTTGGCCTATTTTGCTTCCATGCTGACCTCCATTGTTAAGGTGATTTGGAGTTGTTTTACTTTTGAATTTTACCCATTCTGTTCGTGGTGTGACAACTTTCTAAATATTTCCTTATTGAAGTAGTGATGTATAGATGATTTCCCTTTTAAAACGTATTTACTATGTCCTTTAATGTTTTAAACAATTTTATGGAGGTATTTATTGAAGCATTTCTATCAAACATGACCATTTAAAATCCCTATCAATTTTGTGTAGTGATTCTTGTTCTATGACATTTAGTAATATGATCTTAGAATTTGCATCTTAATTTTTTTCTAACTAAATCTCAGTCCTAATCCTGTATCATTTTTTGTTTCTTTTGATATGTGTGTGTATTTATTCTCTTTGATGTTCATAGTATGTTTCATTGAGATTCAAGGTTGATTTTTTTTGGGGGAAAAAGTACCTTTGCAGAAAAGTCTGTTTTTCTAGAGCTAGTTAGGCAGGCCCTCATTCCTGGTTTGGTTTCAACTGCAGAGAGTGCTTGTATTGCAGGAGAATTTCTGACTCATGGGGTGGGTCCCTGGCTCTTTACTCCTCTCTGATAGAGTGAACTAGCATCTGGGGCAAATACATAGCAGTCAGATGCTCTGATGAATGTCCCTGTTCAGTTCTTTGACTTTTTCATATCCTCCTTAAATAATAATGGTTTTAAAGATAAGCAGAAACCTATCTATAGTACTTCATAGATCTCAGCAGGCATTATTCATCTTACAGTTAATACAGGAAGAAACATCTTTGATACGGAAAGACTAGGGCATGAATTCAGCAATCCCTGGTTAGGAGAAAAGTAGCCTAGTTTATTAATTCTTCACTACTTTTGCGTGGATGACCTGAGTTTTAATCAAGTTCTTTCCTCTCTATAGGCACTCCCCCATTTTCCCACTTTTGTATTGATCTTCCCACTATTGTATTTCTAATGCACCTTCTTAATCACTGGAGAAAGCTTTTGAGGCATGTCAGAGGTCCTAGCACCATTTTCAGTCTCAAAGTTTCATAGCCACTGGCTTTATGGGACTCTATTATCAGGCCTTGCAAACAAATTTGTCCCTTCCCTCACAATCCCAGGCTATTCATCTTTTCTCTAAGGGAGCCTTTTGTAATTAAGACTAGGTGACTATATTAAAACAGAGTTATCTTCTAAAAGATTTATATAAATGATAAAACAGAGGCTAAGTATTTTTGTAAGGACAGCAATTTGAAGTCAGTTAATGCCTAGAGTGACTGTTTCATTCTTCTGCTATGGCTCTGGTGACTTCCTGATAATTCTGTCCAAGCCCCTGTATCCAGTTCCAGGACCTAAGAATGGAAGAGCTCTGGAGGCTGAAGGTAGAAGACGGAGCCCCCTTTCAGTGACAGTGAAAGGGGGGTTAATCTTTCCTGAAGCTGTTAGTCTGGTATCAGCACACATGAAAATTAGAAACTTGCAGCTTTAGAAATAGTATCTGTGTAGTAAATGCTGTCTGTGTACCAATTTGTATAGCTTTTAATAGAAAGATCTTTTTGGATGGAAAATGTGTGTAAGCTTGTGACTAAAATAGTTCTGGATGGAAGACCATTCAGTATCTTCTGAAAAAAAAATTGTCCTCTGGAACTAAAATATGAAAAAAAAAAAAAAACCCTATCCATTATTACTTTTTTTTTAATGAAGAAAACCAGTGCTGCATAATCCACATTTTACCAGTATTAATTATGTCTTAAAACCATTTAAGAATGATGGTTTACATATCCTATTTTAAAGTCAGAATTTTAAAGAATTTTATTTGTTGTTACTAATTATTGGGAGAATATTGAAAAATTTTCAATTTAAATGTTGAATTAAAAATGTAACCTTTTCTGCTGGGCGTGATGGCTCACGCCTGTAATCCCAGCACTTTGGGAGGCCAAGATGGATGGATCACGAGGTCAGGAGTTCAAGACCAGCCTGGCCAAGATGGTGAAACCCCATCTCTACTAAAAATACAAAAATTAGCCGGGCATGGTGGCGGGCATCTGTAATCCCAGCTACTCAGGAGGCTGAGGCAGGAGAATCGCTGGAGGCCAGGAGGCGGAGGTTGCGGTGAGCCGATACCGCACCACTGCACTATAGCCTGGGTGGCAGAGCAAGACTCCGTCTCAAAAAAAAAAAAAAAGTAACTTTTTATAAATATGGGGCTAAAAACATTGTTATTTTTAAATTTTGGAAAAAGTTTTGCTAGCTTGAAGATTACTTAGATTTATTTTTTCTTATTTTGATATTTGGCCTATTTTTAAAACTATAAATAAATAATTGGACTTCGATAGAGAATCAGAAAAACAGGACTTTATATCATTTTTGTTACATTTGAATTCATTTTATAAATATATATTGTAAAAATTCTTCCAGTGCAATATTTTTTGGAAAATATTGTTCTAATCATTGTTTGTATAGGTTTATTTGTAATTATATTAAAAGTAAAATTAGAAAAATATGTAATATTTGTTGTAATTTTCTGGGGAAAAAGATTTGACAATGTTAATAGAATGGATTATTTGTAAAACACCAACATTAGACAGTCATAGAGCCTGAGTAAGGGCTTAGATATTATCTTCCAATGAAGGAACCCGTTCTCCAGCATAGCTAGTAAGTGGTTATCCACCTCCTGCTTCAAGTCTTCCAGTGATAGCATTGAAGTGGAAATCACAGTGGTTTCCAGGCTTGTATGCATATTGAAATCACCTAAGAGATATAAAAAATATTAGTACCTGGGTGCCATCTCCAGGTGATTCTAATATGCAGACAAGTTTGGGAACCAGTGGCAAATCATGTAGAAAAGCACCTCACTCTTTTTCAACATTAGAGAATCCATAATGGAGAGGAAACCTGGCTGATGTTATGAAGAGTCTAATAAGCATTTAGATGTCATTGAGAGCATTTATAACCACACTCCCTACCCTCCAGTGTTGTATGATAAATAAATATTTCCATTTAAATTCAAGAACCATTTAGTAAGATAGCACATTGACAGAGTCCATGATGTTGGTATAGTGGAAAGTCCTGGACTGGGTGTTAGGAGTTTTAGCTGCCCAACTTTAAATAATTTTAGCCTTACAAAAAATTTGCAAAAATAGTATAAAGAATTCCCATATGCCTTTCACCTAGCTTCCTCAAATATTAACATGTTATATAACTACAGTAAAGGTATTACAATCAGGAAATTAACATTGATACAATTTATAAACTAATCTGCAAATTTTGCCAGTTACTCTACTATAAATCTTTTCTGGGCTAAGATCTAATCTGGGATCACACATTGCATTTATTTTTGTATGTGTTTGTTATTTTGAAAAAAATCATTGCAACAATAGTATAATGAATTTGTGAACCCTGAAAATTTGAGACAGGTCTCAGTTAATTTAGAAAGTTTATTTTGCCAAAGTTGAGGACATGGCCATGACACAGCCTCAGAAAGTCCTGACGACATGTGCCCAAGGTGGTCGGGGCACAGCTTGGTTTTATACATTTAGGGAGATGTGAGACATCAATCAATATATGTAAGAAGTGCATTGGTTTGGCCTGGAAAGGCAGGACAACTTGAAGCAAAGGCAGGAAGGCTGTAAGTGCGGTGGGAGCTTCCAGGTCACGGGTGATACACAAAGGGTTACATTCTTTTGAGTTTCTGATTTAGAGTTTCTACCTTTCCAAAGGAGGCAAGTCAGATATGCATCTATCTCAGTGAGCAGAGGAGTGACTGAATACAACGGGAAGCAGGTTTGCCCTAAGCAGTTTTTCAGCTTGAGTTTTCCTTAGTGATTTTGGGGGCCCAAAATATTTTCCTTTCACAAATTCTAGTATACCTTGCTTTCACTCTTTCTGTCCAATTCTTTGTTTGACTGAAGCATTTCAGAATTAAGCTGCAAACATTGTGATCCCTTACCCTAAATATGTGAGTGAGCATCTCTTATGAACAAAGATTTTTTTTCTCATAACCATCATATAATTATCGAATTTGGGAAACTTAACATTGTTACAATACTATTAATCTAATGTATAGTCCATATTCAAATTTTACCAATTGTCTCAATACTGTCCTTTATAATAATTTTTTCATGATCCAGGATTTGTGTGTTGGATTTTGTTGTCAGGTCTCTTTAATTTCCTTTGATCTGGAATGGCTCCTCAGTTTTATTTTGTCTTTCATGACATTGCCATTTTTTGAGTACAGGTCATTTGTTTTATAGAATGGCTCTCAATCTGCATTTGTCTAGACTGGTTTTTCTCACAGTGTGGTCTGTGACTGGTGCTGGTCTACGCCTGGCTGTTACCTAATGGTGAGGAGGCCAACCAACATTACTCATGATATTGGAAACTTTTATAGCAATTCAAAAATAATTTTATGTCTGTTGAATCTAAGAATAAAAATTGAGGGCTTGTATTTTTATGTCTTTTTATTTCATTTCTCTAGTAATTCATTTTTATTTTACAAAATGACAGTTCTTCATGGGTTGGACACTTATTTTTTATTTGTATTTACTTTCATTTTTTAGAATTAAAAAAAAATAGTAGAGACAGGATCTTGCTATGTTGGCCAGATTGGTCTTGAACTGTTGCCCTCAAGCAGTCGTCCTGTCTCTGCCTTCCAAAGTGGATCAGCCAGCATGCCTGGCCAGGTTGGACACTTTTAAAAAGAGTCCTTCAGCACAGCTACTTGGAACAACACTGGTCTAGAATGAGGTGTGTTTTGTTTTTGTTTTTTTGTTTGTTTTGTTTTGTTGTTGTTGTTTTGAGACAGGGTCTCTGTCACCCAGGCTGTACAGGCATGAGCCACCACACCCAGCAGAAAGCTTTTCTTATACTGAGCCAAAATCTCTCTCCAACTTGCTTTTGCCTTCAAGAACATCACCTAACGTGTACTCACATACGTAGGTGTTTGCTTTTCAGAGACTTACAAGACTGGTACCATGTCTTAAACCCCCCGGCTACTCCAAGCAAAACGGGCTCAGCTCCTTTACTCATTTGTAGTGATTAGGATTAGGTTCCGCTGAAAATGAGAATATTTTAAATAAGAGTAGCATACTGACTTTGCTTCTTATGTTCCACAGGTCCAGAAGTGTCATTCTAAAGCTGGTAGAGGTTTCACGAGTCATCAGGGACCCAGAACCCTTCTCTTTTGCTGTCCCCTTGTCCTAGTGCATGGTTTCCACATTGTGGTGCAAGATGTCTGCTCAAGCTCTAGGCATTACATCTGCTATCCTGCTGTCATAAAAAGGAAGGGGAAAAGAAGATCATTTTCCTTCCCTTTAAGGACATTTCCCAGAAGTCACACAGAACATTTCCATTTATATTACTTTGGCCAGAACTTGGTCATATGGCCACATTTAGCTCCAGAGTGGTTAGGAAATGCAGTCTTTTATTTTGGAGATCCCTGTGGCCAGGAAAACATTGGAGGCCTTTTTCAAGGAAAAAGGGGAAAATAGATATTGGTTGACAAATAGTCTCTGCCATACTGTCCCTGGATACATGTCTTTGGGTGAATGTCCCTTATTTACCATTCTGATTGCTTGTTGGATATTTTCAATGTGTGTTACAATATGGTTCCAAAATTGTATGTGATATTCCAACAGCAAGTTGGATGTAATGTGTCATATAAATGACCTCAGTGTCAACCAGCATTTGAATACTGTGAATACTATGCACCAATAAAGAACATAGAAAGTCAGAGGTTTCCATAAATAATTCCTGAGGATATATGCTTGTTTTGTTTGAGAAGCATTGTGAGGCATCTGCTGTGTGCTTTAGGGTTGAATGAAAACTTGGCAAAAGTATTAAAAGACATATTCAGTCTGGGCGTGGTGGCTGATGTCTGTGATCCCAGCACTTTGGGAGGCTGAGGTGGGTGGATCACTTGAGGTCAGGAGTTTAAGACTAGCCTGGTCAACATGGTGAAACCCTGTCTCTACTAAAAATACAAAAATTAGCCGGGCGAGGTGGCAGGCACCTGTAATCCCTGCTACTTGGGAGGCTGACGCACAAGAATCTCTTGAACCAGGGAGGCAGAGGTTGCAGTGAGCTAAGATCGCACCACTGCACTCCAGCCTGGGCAATAGAACGAGACTCTGTCTCACACACACACACACACACACACACACAAAAAGACGTGTTCAGATAGATGTGATATTAGTAAAAATGAAAACACAGGTAATGACTTTTCATTCTAACAAAATATAAATGGAGAAACCTGCCAGTTTTACCCTTTAGAGTAAAAAGGGTACCAAAAAATTACTAAAACAGTAAAATTACCAAAAGTGTAATTTGATAATTTCTACAGAGTCACGTGTATGTGTCACAACTTTGTGAATCACTATTCTGGGCATGTATAAGGAGTCATCATATACCTCCATTGGAAATGTTATTTAATGATGTCACTAATACCAGACAAGGATGTCTCCTCAGGTAAGGCTCCTTGGAGGAGGCAGAGGTTGAGAAGAGGTATAATTTAGGTTTTAAAAATGCAATAGCCAGACTTAACCTTGCACATCTCTACCTGTTACAACGGTGGTCCGGAAAGCTGCAATCTGAAGGCCCCTCAGCTAGTTGCTGCCACTGTGGGCCCTCTGCGCAGCTCTCACTTCTGGGCTCTTTATGCATGTACTCTGTTCTGCAGATAAGTGAGGATGTGACTATTTGCTTAGTGACAGTATCTCTAACCCTGCTTTTTCTCAGTTTTAGAGATGTCAAACAGGCTGGGGATATGAGGTCACTTACCCACTGTCCTATAATCAGCAGATGGCATGACTGGCATTGGAGTTTAGGTCTGTCTGTGCTTTTCTGTACATTACATCTTTTTTAATGATGCGAAGGAAAAATGCAGTAGGGTCAATGAGACAAATGGAATGCAGGTTGCTGGGGAAAGAATGCAGGTTGTGCGTTACAAATGCACACACTTTACAGTGCCACTTGGGTTCTGAACTTTGCGGTTAAATTGATTTAAAAACTGGTCTAGAGGTAAAACTTAAACAGCGAATGAAAATATTTGGGTTTGCTTCAGGAGGTCGCAAACCACTTCTTGGTTAGTAGAAATGGGAAATTAAGGGCCACCTTCAGGCGTTTAACTGAATCGTCCTGGGGATTTAATTTGGCTTTCGACTCAATGCTAAGGTTTTGTTGCTTTTGGTTTTTAAAGTAATGTAAGTTTATCGTGCCAACGGTAAGATATCTCTCTGGACGCGTGCACCTGCTCTCGCAATCACTGACTGCGGTCAGCATCCTCCTTAGAGCAGCGCCCCGGGCCACTTGGATCCCGGCCTCAATTTACTAAGCGAACTCAGAGGATGCCCGGAGTCCTGGACTGCAGAGCCGCCCGCGAGAGGCACCGGGGCTGTAACCGCGCAACCTCGTGCCGTGGGCGGGGACGAGGGAGACTTCTCCGGCCGGTGCGCGCCCTGGCGCGAAAGTGAGGCGCGGGCGGGGCTGGTCACGCGCCTGGCTTCCTGCAGTGCGAACCCTGCAAATCCCGGCGACTTCGCAGTTGCCGAAGGGACCCGAAGAAGTGGGATGTGCAAAAGCACCGGCTGGAAATCCCGGCTGTGTCTCCGTCAACTCTTCACGCAACAGTGGGCTCCCCCGGCCCTTGGTTTTTACCGGGCCGCCTGGTCCCACTCGGCGAAAAAAATTCCAGAGCTGCTGCCGTGGCGATGGCGTGGTGGGCTGCCTCCTCCGCGTGCGCGGCGCTCCTGCTTCTGTGGTGCGCACTGATGACCGCAGGTAGGGGGCGGCTGGGGTGGGCTGGGGTGGAGGCGGCTGGGGTGGGCTGGGGTGGAGGCGGCTGGGTTGGGCTGGGGCGGAGGCGCCTGGCGCCAGAGGGTCCTTGCGGTTGGCTCCCTAGCGCCCTTCCAGGGGACCGCGACGTCCTGGGGGCTGGGGGCTCTATTTTCTTTTCTTTTTCTTTTCTTTTCTTTTTTTTTTTTTGAGACGGAGTGTCGCTCTCGCCCAGGCTGGAGTACGGTGGCGCGACCTCGGCTGACTCCAAGCTCCGCCTCCCGGGTTCACGCCATTCTCCTGCCTCAGCCTCCCGAGTAGCTGGGACTACGGGCGCCCGCTACCACGACCGGCTAATTTTTTGTAGTTCTAGTAGAGACGGGGTTTCACCGTGTTAGCCAAGATGGTCTCGATCTCCTTGACCTCGTGATCCACCCACGTCGGCCTTAAAAAGTGCTGGGATTACAGGCGGGAGCCACCGCGCCGGGCCTGGAGGCTCTATTTTCAAGCGCCCCTCCTTTGTGAGATGCGGAGTCCCCGATGCAACAGGTTGATATTGAAGGCCTGCCCTGTGCAGGGTCGGCACCTGTGCGAGCGGAAACGGTGCTTCCTTGGATGTCGCGCACTTGGTGCCTCGGTAATCTGCTCCTCTCTTGCATCATCCAAGGGGTCGGAGCAGAGAAGAAAATCAGGGAATGGGGAAAATAGGAAAATGATTCATCCGCGTATCAGTGGGTCCTCCTGGCTTTGCTAAGTAAGGTCTTTATTGAGAGAGGGAGGGGAGTGTTTTGATCTTGAGGTGACCTTCAAAAGTTCTCTTACTTTTTTGGGAACTCGTATGGGAATGTTCTGCGTTAACTTAAACAGGAGACTACAAGGCTGAAACGCGTATGTAGAGATATTTAAACTCATTTCTAACTAGAAGAATGGCAATTAAACAACAAGATGCTGCTTGACCCTTACTAGGCTGGCCACAGTACGCTCCTGGGTACCAGGTGCTGGAGGGGGAATGTAGGAATCCCGGAGGCGCGCTCTGGGCGCCCCAAGTCACTGCAGGTGGAGGCGAGCCGCGTGTGGACCTCACCGTGGAGCGCTGGGCGGCAGCTTCACACCACGCCCTTGCTGCTTGCCGAGCAGCGTGAACGGATATTGAAGGCAAAGAGCCAAGCAGTGGACATACAATGTAATACCCTTTCCACAGTTTGAGAAACAGAAGATACAGCCTTAAAGACAACAAAAATGTATGTTAAACACCTTAGAATGACTGCCCAATGGGAGAGGGAAATGAAAATAAAAACGAGGGAATAGCATTTCTATACATTTGCAATGAGCAATGTGAAAATAAGACAGTTCCGAGTGAAGTGTGGGCGGTGACGAAAGCCAAATTTGCGCTGGACTCGGCGTTGGTGGCTGGAAGCGCTTCCACGCCCTCAGTCTGGGTCTCCTCGAGCTCGAAGTGGCGCCTGGGGGCTCCCGCCGCGCCCACCCGGTCCCGGGCCCGGCGCCCCCTCCTCAGGAGCCTCGGGTGCCAGCCACTTTCGTCCGGTCCTCGTCCCCGCGGATGCTGGCGGTGGTGGAGAAGGGCCGCGCGGTCTCTGGGAAGCGGAGAGGAAGGAACGCCGTTTGGCTGTGCGGCGGCGCTTTAGTGGCAGCAGCAGCAGCTCCTGGGAGGAAGCTAGTTCGGGCTCGTCCAGCCACGAGGAGTGAGGCGGCCGCTGCATGACGGTCGGACCCCAGAACCAGGCGTTGGTGCTGGACTTTGGCACCGGAAGAGACTGTGAAATTGAAAACCATCGGAAGCTTTCGCCTAACAAATCATTTCCGCCCACAAGAAATCCCTACACCTTAGAATGGAACATCTATTTCCCGGGCTGTTATTCTGTGTGGAAGCAAATTTAAAGTGGTACAAGAAAAAAAAAATCCAATCAGACAAAGGAATTCGTCAGATTTTAATGCAAGATATTCTAGCCCGTCTTTATATGAGACTGCCTTTAAAGGTTGTTGATATAGAAAATGTTTTAAAGAACGTTAGGTTTTATTTCAGAAATGAAGTTCAAAAGAGCAATTTGTAAAGCTGTAGTTAAGAATCCTCCCTGGTTGGAGGGCTCTAGAACGGGAGATTCTCTATGCAGGTTATACCACTAGTTGATTTGAGAAGATAAATGCATAGATGCTTTTCCTTGGAAACAAGACTGCAGAAAATTCCAAGGATCTGGTCCTTGAAAAAGGGGAATGCTCTTAAGCTGTTATTAAGGTACTAAACTCTGTACCTTTAAATGAAAATACATGGAGGTCCGGGGTGAGCGCTTGGGCGCTCTGAAAATAGACGACGTTTCCCAAATTTGCCTTCTAAATTTTGATTTGTTGATTTAAATCTTTTAAATTTATGTAGTCTGGCACTCAGGTTTGTATTCTTTTTAAGCACACGTTAGTGTTTTGGTATTTTCCCCTCCCCCTCCGACCCCCCAATTCTTTTTTTTTTTTTTTGGTAGTCTCTTTTCATTTATAAGAGTGACAATAGAACTAGGTGGCCTGGCTATTTCTCTCCTATCCTTGGCTCCTCCATTCTTTGGTTGGCCACCAGGGGGAAGCATACTGTTTTTTGGTTACGGTTGACCCTATCTTCATTTTGTAGGTCAAGTCTGTTTTTGCCTTGATACATAGAACATAAAGTTTGTCACCATGTTTGCCTAATGTATTATTTTTAAAAATAGACTTGCACAAACCTTTGAGTAAGTTGGCAGATTTTTGGATACATTTTTTTGTTAACATTAATTTTGAAAACTTTATTTAGATATGTTGGGTGTGACTAATGAAAGGACATGTTTATGGCAACAAGGGGAATTCGGTTTCTGACATTTATCTAAATATTGATGTCTAGCTCTGCATTGTTAGTCATGAGTCTGACTTCTTTGGAGTTGCACTCTTCTTTGAAACAGCAAATGTAATATTTTGAACTGTCCTTGCACTTTTTGTTGGATTGGTGTAAGCGTAAACTTGCTGGCAACCTACTGTTCTAAAATAGAAAACATCTAGCCAGTTGCAGTGGCTCATACCTGTAATCCCAACACTTGAGGAGGCAGTGGGAGGATTGCTTGAGCCCAGGAGTTGGAGACCAGCCTGGGCAACTTAGTAAGTCTCCATCTCTACAAAAAATCAAAAAATTAGCTGAGCATGGTGGCGTGTGCCTGTAGTCCCAACTACTTGGGAGGCTGAGGCAGGAGGTTCACTTGAGCCTAGGAGGTGGAGGCTGCAATGAGCAGTGATAGCACCACTGCACTCCAGCCTGGGTGACACAGCAAGACCCTATCTCTAAATAAATAAATAGGAAAACATCAAAAAAAGAGAAAATTCTCTTTACAATAGCATCAAAAAGAGTAAAATACTTATGAGCAAATTTAACAAAAGAAACAGAAAGTATATACTCTGGAAACTGTAAAATATTGCTGAAAGAAATTTAAGATCTAAATAAATGAAATGGAAAAATGTCCTGTCTTAGTCTTGCCAGGCTACCATATCAGATATATACTGTGTGGCTTAAACAGAAATTTTTTTCTCGTTTTGGAGGCTGGGAAGTCCAAGATGAAGGTGTGGATGATCTGGTTTCTGGTGAGAGCCTCATTTCTGGTTTATAGAAGGATACCTTCTTGCTGTATCTTTACATGGGGGAGAGAGACATATCTCTCTGTCTTGTCTTCATTTATTTATCTATCTATCTATTTATTTATTTATTTTTGAGACAGTGTCTCACTCTGTCATCCAGGCTAGAGTGCAGTGGCATTATCACAACTGACTGCAGCCTTGAACTTCTGGGCACAAGGGATCCTCCTACCTCAGCCTCCCAAGTAGCTGGGACTACAGGTGCTAACCACCATGCTGGGCTAATTTATTTTTATTTTTTTGTAGAGACAAGGTCCCATTATATTGCCTAGTCTGGTCCAGAACTCCTGGGCTCAAGCAATCCTCTGGCCTCAGACTCTCAAAGTGCTGGGATTATAGGTGTGAACCACCAGGCCCAGCCTCATGTCTTTTTGTTTTGTTTTGTTTTGTTTTTTTTGAGACAGAATCTCACTCTGTCACCCAGGTTGGAGTGCAGTGGCACGATCTTGGCTCACTGCAACCTCTGCCTCCTGGGTTCAAGCAATTCTCCTGCCTCAGCCTCCTGAGTAGCTGGGATTACAGGCACCTGCCACCACACTTGGGTAATTTTTTGTATTTTTAGTAGAGATGGGACTTCACCATGTTAGCCAGGATGGTCTCAATCTCCTGACCTCACGATCCGCCTGCCTCAGCCTCCCAAAGTGCTGGGATTACAGGCGTGAGCCACCGTGCCCTGCCTCATGTCTTTTCTTGTAAGGGCACTAATCCCATTCATGAGGACTCTCCCCTTATGACCTAATCACTTCCCAAAGGCCCTGCCTCCAGATACCATCACACTGGGAGTCAGGCCTCAATATGAATTTTGGAGGACTCCAGCATTCAGTCCATAGCACATCCCAAAAACTTGTTCATAAATTGAAAAACTGAACATTGTGTTCTCTTATTGCCACAGGTGATCTGAAAGTGGAGATGATGGCAAGGGGGATTCAGGCCACACACCTGAATGACAATGTTACCATATTCTGCAAAGTCATTTATTCCCAACCCCTCAACATCACTTCTATGGGTATCACCTGGTTGCGGAAGAGTCTGACGTTAGACAAAGAAGTCAAGGTCTTTGAATTTTTTGGAGATCACCAAAAGGCATTCCGACCTGGAGCCAATGTGTCTCCATGGAGGCTGAAGAGTGGGGACGCCTCACTGAAGCTGCCTGGAGTCCAGCTGGAGGAAGCAGGAGAGTACCGATGTGAGGTGGTTGTCACCCCTCTGAAGGCACAGGGAACGGTTCAACTTAAAGTTGTGGGTGAGTGTCTCGGGGCAGTGCCCTATAGTTCCCATGGTGTTGGGGTTAACAACAACAAAACCCAAACACCTCTTTGAGCTCCGCTTTCCTGTATTATAAAATGGTCTGATAATACGTGGATGAACTTGGTGGCTGTATTAGTTTGCTAAGGCTGCCATAACAAAATACCATTGACTGGGTGGCTTTAAACAACAGATGTTTATTTCTCACACTTCTGGAGGCTAGAAGTCTGAGATGAAGATGTCAGCAGGATTGGTTTTTTTCTGAAGCCTCTCTCCTCTGGCCATCTTCTCCCTGTGTCTTCACATGGTCTTTCCTTTGTGCCAATATCTGTGCCCTAATTTCCTCTTCTTATAAGGATACCAATCATATTGGATCAGAGCCTACCCTAATAACCCCATTTTTAACTTAATTGCCTCTTTAAATAACCTATCTCTAAATACAGTCACATTCAGAGATACTGGGAATTCTGGGAGGACATAAGAATTTTAGGAGGATGTAATTCAATCCAGCATGGACCCTCCATAATTGTACATAAGACTTTGAATGTTTTGTCTATAGTAATTTTGGGAGTGAGAGGCATATTAATTAGGATTCACTTCCTCTGCAACTGACAGAGGAATAACAGTGACAGTGGCTATATATATAGCCAACTGACGATGGCCGTATATATAGCCACTGTTCTTCCAGGCTTTATGTATCTATAGAAAGGGTCTACATAGGAGACAGGGTCTCGCTCTGTTGCCCAGGCTGGAGGGCATGGCACAATCATAGCTCACTTCAACTCCAGGGCTCAGGTGATCCTCCTGCCTCAGCCTCCTGAGTAGCCAGGACCTCAGGTGCATGCCACCACGCCTGGTTAATTTTTACACTTTTGTAGAGATGGGGCCTTGTGTTGCCCAGGCTGGTCTCCAACTTCTGGCCTCAAGAGATCCTCCTGCCCTGGCCTCTCGATGTGCTGGTATTACAGGGATGAACTACCATGCCTGGCCAACAGTGGCTTTTAAAGACATTAATAGATTTTTTTTTTTTTAGGACAGTTTTGGATTTACAGAAACATTGCAAAAATAGTATGAGAGTTCTCATATCACTCTCATCTTGCATACCATTTCCCCTATTATTAACATCTTGCATTCGTTTGGTACCTTGATATAATTAATGAACCCATATTGACATTTTACTATAATTAAAGTCTGTAGTTTATTCCTATTTCCTTAGTTTTTACCTAATGTCCTTTTTCTGCTCTAGGATCCCATCAGAATACATTGCATTGAATTGTTATATGTTCTTAGGCTCCTTTTTGCTGTGACAGTTTCTTAGACCTTATTTTTGATGTCCTTAACAGTTTGGTGAGGGTATTGGTCAGGTATATTGCAAGATGTCACTCAATTAGGATTTGTCTGCTGTTTTCCTCATAATTGGACTTGGGTTATGGGTTTTTGGAGGAACATTGCAGAGGTAAACTGCTATTTTCATCACATCAAATCACATGACTTATGACTGTTGATGTTGACCTTGACCATGTAGTTGAAGTAGTGTTTGTCTGGTTTCTCTACTGAAAAGTTACTCTTCCCCCTATTTTCATACTGTACTCTTTGAAAGGAAGTCACTCTGTGCAGCCCACACTTAAGGTGGGGGGTTACTTATGTTCTTCCTCCTTGGGGGTGGAGTATCTACATAATTTTTTAAAGAATTCTTCTGCATGGGAGATTTATCTCTTTTCTCCTATTTATGAATTTATTCAATCATTGATATCAATAAGGACTCAAGGATATTTATTTTATACTTTGTGTTATAATGCAGTACTACTTTATTTTTTTCTCAAATTGTTCCAGCTTTGGCCACTGGGAGCTCATTCGCTTGGCTCTTGTGTCACATTGACATACCCCAATCATTGTAAGATTTTGTTTTATTTTATTATTTTATTTTTTGTTTTATTTAATTTTTGGAAAATTCATATCAAGGATTTTGTTTGATTTTAAGCACTTTTTACTTTTTGGCACTATAAGATGCTCCAGACTCATATTGTATATTTCCTCTCGTGTATATTTCCTGGTTCTAGTCCTAGAACCAACCAATACTCCAAGAAACTTTGGTTCCTTTTATTGGAAAATGATATTAGAAACCAAGACCAAGTACACTAAGTGTACTTTTTGCTACTGAGGTATCATTGAATTCTAGATCCTCTCAGCCAACAGAGCAAAGAAATATATGTATGTGTACTAACCTCTGCATATATACATATCTATAAATATTTCTATGTGTAACCATCTGTACCTATATTAAACATTTGTTCTCACTGATGTCTCCAACTTTAATCCATTACCACATAGATCCTTCTCTTGCTTATCTGTAAACTCCCACTCCAACAGTGAGAAACCTGTACCCACCATACTCTGTTTATTTGTTTAATTATTAACCTGTACTCCCGTAAGAAACAACTTTATCTACTAGAGTACAGTGCTTCTTGGCAATTCCTTTTTTTTTTTTTTTTTTTTTTGGAGATTTATTTTGAGACAGAGTCTTGCTCTGTTGCCCAGACTGGAGTGCAGTGGTGATTCTCCTGCCTTAGCCTCCCAGGTAGCTGGGCTTACAGGTGTCTGCCACCATGCCTGGCTAATTTTTGTATTTTCAGTAGAGACGGAATGTCACCATGTTGGCCAGGCTGGTCTTGGACTCCTGACCTCAGGTGATTTGCCCACCTCAGCTTCCCAAAGTACTGAGATTACATGCATGAGCCACCACACCTGGCCCAGATTTTAGCCATTCTAGTAAGTATATAGTGGTATCTCATTTGTTGTTTTAATTAGCAGTTCCCTAATGACATAATGTTGGACATCTTTTCATGTTCTTACTTGCCATTCGTATGTCTTGTTTTTGTGTATGTTTATTGGTCGTCCAGGCTGGAGTGCAGTGGTGTGATTACAGCTCACTTCCCAGGCTCAGGTGATTCTCCTAAGTTTCAGCCTCCCAAGTAGCTGGGACTACAGGTGCACATCTCCATGCCTGGCTAATTTTTGTATTTTTTGTAGAGATAGGGTTTTGTCATGTTGCCCAGGCTGGTCTTGAACTCCTGGGCTCAAATGATCTGCCTGTCTCGGCCTCCCAAAGTACTGGGAATTGTATATCCTCTTTGATGAGATGTTTGTTCAGATTGCCTATTTTTTAACTGGGCTCATTTTTTAAATTGTTATGTTTTAAGAGTCCCTTGTACATTCTGGATACAAGCCTTTATCAGATAGATGTCTCACAAATATTTTCTCACAGTCTGTGTCTTGTCTTTTCATTGTCTTAACAATGTCTTTTGTAGAGCAGAAGTTCTTAATTTTAAAAAGTTGAACTTACTACATTTTTCTTTCATGGATCATGCTCTTAACATTGTATCCTAAAGCTCATCACCAAACCCAAGGCTACCTAGATTTTCTCCTATGTTATCGTCTAGAAGGTTTATAGTTTTACCATTGACGTTTAGGTCTATGAGGCAGTTTACTTTAATTTTTGTGGAAAGTGTAAGGTTTGTGTCTATATTCTATATGCATTTTTTTTTTTTTTTTTGCATATGAACACCTAATTGTTCCAGTATCATTTGTTGAAAAGACTGTCCTTTCTCCATTGAATTGCCTTTGCTTCTTTGTCAAAGATCAGTTGAATATATTTGTATGGATCCATTTCTGGCTTTCTATTCAGTTTCTTTTTTTTTTTTTTTAAATACAGGCTGGAGTGCAGTGGCACAATCTTGGCTCACTGCAGCCTCTGCCTCCCGGGCCCAGGCAATCCTACCATCTCAGCCTTCCGAGTAGCTTGTACTACAGGCTCGTGCCACCACTCCCAGCAAATTTTTATATTTTTGTAGAGATAGAGTTTTGCCATGTAGCCCAGGCTGGTCTGGAACTTCTAAGCTCAAGTGATCTCACCCGCCTCATTCTCCCAAAGTGTTGGGATTATAGGCGTGAGCCACCACGCCCTGCCCTATTCAGTTTCATTGATCTCTGTCTTCTTTCCCCCATACCACACTGTCTTGATTACTGTA